TTTGGATTTTTCTTTTGGACCCCCAGCATCACCTTAAAGAGTACCTGTCACCACCATCTGCTATCACATGGGGGGCTTATAAGCCCCCCCCATGTGATATGCATTAAAAGTAAAAAAAAAAAAAAAAAGTTTTTTAAATTTAAATACTTCTATAGGGTCTTGGCATTCAGAAAATATATAATGTTGGGGGGTTTTAAGTAATTTTCAGGCCTAAAATGTGGAATATAACATGGGTACAAAAAATGCAAAAAAGGCCTCAGTCATGAAGGGGTTAAGCACTAGAGCCACAGTGCTGATTTGAAGGCTCAATAAATAAGTGTACTAATAAAGAAGTTAATTGAGTGTTATACATTCATTTAGAGGGTGCTGAGGATAACATTTTGGAATTTAAGCCCTTAAACCATTAAATGCAGATTAAGAAGCTGATTTAGAAGGGTTTGCCCAACTAGATGGTGCAGAGGAGCACATGGAATTCCTATGTTTCTTGGCTGCCTCAGGTGCATGTACTGAGAGAATGTGACGACTACCATGCTAATCCTCTCCTTTATGTAATGGAGGCACAGGTCTGCAGATCAGGAATCTTGATTTTACACTGACTTTGTAATCTGAATGCTTGTTCCAGGACAGTGATTCCAAAAATATTACCGCCAGGTAGCTTGTAATTGTCAGCAATGGCAGCTCTCTTTTTTTTTTGTCTCAGCACATATCCTAAATGCTTTGGGTAGAGTAGGGCGTAGTTGAAACCCATGTGTTTTTTCAAACCCTTTCATGTCATTGAAGCTTAGATGACCAGACCAAAATTAGTAGCCTCAGTATGCACCTGTTAACCTGACAACAACATGATGACTAATTTACCTACATATAAAATGTTTGCATTGTTTTTTAAGTAGAACATTATAGAACGTTTATTTGGTGCAGAATTTTAATCAATACTTGCTCAGGTTTTTATAATATAGGCTGGAATAAAATGTGGGAATTTGTTTTTTAGTTTCTTTTTAGTACTATATTTGTAAATCACAATTACGGCACTAAACAGAGGCACGCTGCCATTTTCAGGTTGAAAGGTTTAATTTTGTAAATACACCCTCCAGACTTCATCTGCTCATTATGAATGTCAGTCATGGTAATCACATGAGTGAGATTTCATTTCAGATTTGCCCCCAGTCATAAGTAGAGACCTTCAGCTGTCACTGACGGTGCAGTTTGACAGCTAGGAGCACAAACGGGTGTCGCATGAGGAACACGGACTAAGGTTCCATTGAACCTTCTGGACAGCTATAGGAAGTGTTCACATCACCCAGGCACTAATATGTACACCTGAAGAAGGCCCCACTTCCTCTGCACTGAAGGCGATAGAAGACTTGGAATCCAAGCTGTCATGTGACCACATATTCAGGCAAGTAAAAGGCCTTCCGCTTATGATTTTCTGAGGTAATACCAATTCATTAAGACTGAGGTAGGGGACATATGGAGGAGAGTCAGTTCCATGAGTTCCACCTTAATGTATAGATTGCGTCTCATTAAGGTGACTCCCCATCACCGCCTGTCCTTGGCACTGAACATTATGTAAGAGTAAATCTTTCCAAAGGCATGTAAATACCCCTCTTAGTTGTCAAGGGAGTGGACGATTTTAACTGTATCTGATGAAATTCTGAATTTTCCATCAATTTCTGTCCCAATGACGATGGTTACCAAGACAAATAATATGATGAGTCAGCATATTACAGAAGAAATGCAGGCAAAACGTTCTGCATTAAATAAACATATACATAGGAGAAGTTGCTTTTCTCTGTCTGTGTGTATTCAGATCCTTGCTTCTTTCATTCAGAACGCAGACTGTGATCTATGTACTCCAAATCCCCTGAATCGAAGTGATGTGGATAGGTGTATCTGGGACTTCAACTCTAGCCACAGAAACTCCTGCAGCTCACATATAAAATAAGATAGCACATAGACTTAACCTGATGGCAAGTTAACCACTTGCTGCCCAGAGCAATTTCTTACATTTGCACACACAATAAAATCTGAAATTTTGGCTAGAAAACAGCTTCAGACCCCCAAACAATTATATATTTTCTGAAAGCATAGGCCCTGTAGAATAAAACGATGCTAGTTGCAATTTTCTATGTTGCATGATATTTTCGCAAATGCTTATCAAACAAGTTTTTTTTAGGATAAAATACACTAAAATAACATTTAATGCACAAAAACAGAATATAATGCCCAATTTTTTGGGTAATATATAAAAGATGGGGTCATGCTGGGTAATTAGATACCAAACATGTCAAGCCTTAAAATTGCGTGCGTCCGTGAAACTGCAAAAAAACTACAAAAACCCAAATTTCCCATAGACGACACTTTAAATGCTTTTACGGCTCATCAGTTTTTACGACTCATCAACCCCTAATGTCACCTAGGGACCCCAAAGAAGCTGATGGTGCAGAGATCTACGTCAGCAGCTTCTTCTGGCTCTAGGAGCCGGAGACTGTGCCTTGTGACACCGGAAGTGATGTAATGCACATCACTTCCGGGTCCATTGATCGGAGGAGAGCTCAGAGGCTGTAAGCCGCTGATCTCTCCTCTGATCTATCAGGGGAGACCCTCCATGCCGGTCCCGGGCTCACACGTGGCACAGTGAAGCCCGGGAAGCCGACGGCGGCACCAGCGGTGGCGGAGGGGAGCTGGAGGGGGACACGGCACCGCACCGTACAAGCGATCCAGCACCTGTACAGATGCCGGAACGCTTGTATTTAAACAGCAATTGCCAGCTGTTTAAAACGGTATCAAGAACACAGCTGCAGCAGCCGTGTTCTTGGTATAACCACTTCCATTGGATGACGTACATTTACGTGACCCCGCTGGAAGTGGTTAAAATGTTTTTTTAAATATATTTTTATATATGTATATATATATATTACAGTATATATATATATATATTTATTTATTTTTCTTTTTTTTCATCTGAAACAAATTTTTATGCTGTGCACATGTCTAATAAATCACTCTTATTGCATTTGCTCATTCAACTTACACTTGACCTGCACTTCCACTGGGCAAGGCACAAACAAACTACTCACAGACTATGGTGACGGCGGCACCAGGGGCTGCGTAAGGGGGGGGGGGGACGCACACAGTGCTGCACCGTACAAGCGATCCGGTGTACAAGTGTACTTTGTATAACCACTTCCAGTGGAGGACGTGCATTTATTATTTATTTTGCCGTAACTCACTAAACTTTGCTTTAAGCCCTCGTTCACGTCTCTGCAAATGGGGGAGCGCATCTGATGCATGTGGTCCCGCATCACATGAGATCGCATGTGGCAATGTTAGAAGCTCTGCAGCGCAATTATTTCCTAATGGCACCTGAACGCACCTTGTCTATAGCATGTGCATTGCATCACACCCTATCCCATGTAAGCCTATTATCATGTGTTTTGGTGTGAGGTAATTTTAAAAAAAAAGGAGCTTGCACTTTGTAATTTATTCAAATAAATAGGCTGCCCTACTTCAGTGAACCTGCGATGTCACATAGCAGATGTGTGAACAAAGACTGATAACCTGTAGCTGCAGGGTGAAAATATTGTTCAAAGCTTCCTCACAGTTAATTGATAAAGCTTCTCTTTTGTTTACATAAAAAAATGATAAAAGAAAATTGCTACACAAATCGTTTTGCAATTCACTAATAAAAATTACTATTATGTTTTAATCATTGGCTAGACATGATTTTCTAAAACTGTCAGAACATTCAAATGTTGCTTCATTGCAACCATGACGACTGAGGGGATGATCAGTACACTGTATACAGAACACTGCTAGAAATATAATTATCTGCTCTAGTGATTGGCACACAGCTATTCTCAGCAGATTTGTCTTATTATTAAGGGTATCTATGGTCAAAAACAAAAAATAAATGTATTTCTATACAGGTATTCCTCACTTAACGACCGAGTTCCGTTCCTACGACCAGGTCGTTAAACGGATTGGTCGTTAAGTGAGGAACTCTATACAGTACTATACTGCATTAGTACAGTACTGTATAGCGTTGCCGATGTACAGTACCGAACAGGGTACTGTGCATCCGGCAATGGAAATACTTACCGAGACCTGCAGTGAAGATCGGGGGATGTCACTTCCGCCGGCGACCCGTCGCGCTGACGCGGAAGGTCGGAGGTCGATCGGCGGTCCGTCGTAAGTGCGAGTGGTCGCAAAACAGGTAAGTCGGTAAGTGAGGAACATCTGTATTGAATTTCCATAGGTTCTATCCCCCTCCTGATAACCATATCCATCTAGAAGTTTGTAAACTTACCTACTGAAGAAGCCATAGGATGTACTTCCTCAATGCAGTGACCCAATTTTACTCAGCCCTGTGAATATGAACTTCTTTGTACAACTCAACATCTGAACAATGTAACATCATCATAGCTTGCTGAAAGCAATGCATGATGGGATATGTAGTCTTGAGAAATGGAGATTGCATCACATCAATTAGCATGGGATCCAGGAAGTTGATGAAAGTGATTGGCAGATAGAAGGCAGCACTTACTACATAAAAGGGATTTTTTTCAAGTAAGCTATGATTGCATTATTAAAAACGACTCTGGTATGTATTCCTATTACAAAGATGATGTAACAGGAAAGGATATACTGGGACCTTAGAACTCCTTTCAAGCATGTAACTATAGCTGGTAGATCCTACTTAGCGCTCGGGTAGTAGGTAAGAACTAGAATACTGCACATGGATGAATAGAACAGCAGCGGGTAAGACTCTGCAATAAGGTTTTGCTAAATCCATAGAAATACTGTATATATTTCACCTGAGGATGATTGTTTTTAACAGCAAGTACCTCTCGTTATTGTGTAGCCATGATGGCTACACATACATACTGAAACCAGTCTAAATGTTTTGTGTTCAGGTAGTATTTTGTTTAGGAGCTACTACAGAACAGGTTGTTCATGTCACACCCTTTTTTTTTTTTAATTCATCTACTCATGAAAAAGTCTTGCTTATAAAATAATATATTACATATCAATAAATATTCATAAAACTTGAGTGCAAATTGTACACAGATGATTTCAGTAACCAATAAATAATTTCTTGCAGAGAGAATGATCTCATTTTATCTGCATTCATTGATGGCATTTTTCCCATTGTTCTTAATACAGCAGAGGATATTTAATCAGCAAATGTCTTTAAGGAACAACGCTGGTTTCTGGAAAAGAAAACACATTTTATATTACATTCTCATGGATCTGGTTAAAAAGGATATTTACAAGAAAATGTATAAACCCCTATAGTAGAACTTAGGTCAAATTAGAAAATCGCATACGGTATGTATTATAGGCTTCTTATACTGCACTCTGTTTTTCTAAATACTAGGGCTGGTAATGTCGTCACCGGACTCCACCCCCCTTCCCTTCGTTAGCCGACAGAGCCACTTGTGGAAGGGGGAGGAGTCCGGTGACGTCGCGGACATCGACGGAAGCCGGCGGAGAGTTGAGTATGACTTTGATCGATCAAAATAATTTTGATCGATCAAAAAAATTAACGATTAATCGAAGGATTAATTGTTAATTTCTGCAGCCCTACTAAATACCCTTTGGAATATATTGTACATATATGTTGATCCTGCTAGAAGAACCATTGGATAGGTGCTTCTTTTGATAGGGTGACATTGTTCTTCCATCTGCAGTTAATCATTGCAGTGTTGTCACCTTTGCTGTTGGTGTAGCTTAGTCTTTTGCAACCAGAGTGCCGTCGCACCCTGGGGTGCTTTCTGGTTTTCTTATGTGGTGCCTCAAAATGTTTGCATAGTGGCACTGAGGATATGAGGAGGCTCCTAATGTAAAGGGGGTAACTCTGATATGAATGAGAGGGGTCTCTGATGTGAAGGGGGGGATCCTGGGTTGAAAAAGGAGGGTGGGATCCTGATGTAAAAAGGGGGGATTACTAATGTGAAGTGGGGACTCTGATGTGAAAGGGGTGATCTTACGTTAATAAACAAAATAGGTGAAGGAACATTTGACTAGTTTATATTGCTCATGTTTATTAGTGCCCTGGGTGACTTACCTGCATAGTCTTGTAAGGCATTCTGTGTCATCCCGGCATGAAGCACCGACTGGACGCAGTGATAGTCCTCTCCAAAATGGAGTCATCCTTCGGAGCCTCAGCGCTGTCTTGGATCCATCATTACTATTCATGGGAGCGCCTTCCAGCTAAAGAGAAAGACCTTTTCATTCAGTACATTTATTTGTTGGAACATTTTAGTAAGTCTCTATTCTAAATAGCTAACCAAAACGCGTATCTTGCTATCAGGGCCCTAATATACGTCCTGGCCTATTTGTTTTCCCACATTAGCAAGATCAGATGTCACATCCACACAATTCTTCCTGGGCTGGGGGTGGTGAGACAGGTCACCCTCACTGTTTCAAAAGTAAAGACTACAAGAGTAGACAAATGGTTGCCTGCTGACAGTCACAGCTCTCTGCAGGGATATATCGAGAAGAGAGCAAGCGCCGGTATGTGTTTGCTCACTTCCCGATCTACTGAGCCGACCTGTGACACTTTCATTGTCACAGCTCGGCTCAGATTATGAGGCTGAGTGCAAATCACTCACTTCATAGTTCTCCTTTAAATACTTTTGTGAATTCTGTGACAGCTGTCAGATTCTTTACATTGGGGATGGAAGTGTCCTCAGAGAAGCAGAAGTTGTTACAGAATAACACAGATCTCTCAGCTTCTTTCATTATTTACATTTTGTAACAATATTGTGTTACTTTGTTTTCATTTGAGATACAAATGCAGAGAAGCCAGGGAGCGATAAATGACAGCTCTCCCGCCTGTTGTGTTTAGTTTCCCAATGAAATTTGAATGTATCCGAATTTCGTTATTAAACATTCAGCTTCCTTCAGATTCATTATTTCTGTTATTCAGAAATTCAGATACGTCCGAATTTACAGAAATTCCTACGAATTTCAATTCGGAAGAAAACGAATTGCACACGTCTACACACCACATTGTTTCACTGACAAAGATGCATAAGGGGGGGAGGGTGGGAGAGGGGAGGGGGGGGGGGAATCTCTGCATGGAGCCGTGAGTGACAGTCACAGCTCTCTGCAGGGATATATCGAGAAGAGAGCAAGCGCCGGTATGTGTTTGCTCACTTCCCGATCTACTGAGCCGACCTGTGACACTTTCATTGTCACAGCTCGGCTCAGATTATGAGGCTGAGTGCAAATCACTCACTTCATAGTTCTCCTTTAAATACTTTTGTGAATTCTGTGACAGCTGTCAGATTCTTTACATTGGGGATGGAAGTGTCCTCAGAGAAGCAGAAGTTGTTACAGAATAACACAGATCTCTCAGCTTCTTTCATTATTTACATTTTGTAACAATATTGTGTTACTTTGTTTTCATTTGAGATACAAATGCAGAGAAGCCAGGGAGCGATAAATGACAGCTCTCCCGCCTGTTGTGTTTAGTTTCCCAATGAAATTTGAATGTATCCGAATTTCGTTATTAAACATTCAGCTTCCTTCAGATTCATTATTTCTGTTATTCAGAAATTCAGATACGTCCGAATTTACAGAAATTCCTACGAATTTCAATTCGGAAGAAAACGAATTGCACACGTCTACACACCACATTGTTTCACTGACAAAGATGCATCAACTAAGCAGGCATGTCTACAATGATGACTATAAGAAACCAGCCACACTGCGATTGTACGCAGAGCGACAGTCTGGGACCTTATTATTAATCATGCAAATGCGGCTGTGCTCTCTGTTTAAAAAAATGCATAATGTTCTGGGAATGTGGTAAAAAAAACCCTGTACTAAAATGTTTATTTGTAAAAGACATTTTTGATTTAAGTATAAAAAAACAGGTATGAAACATCAGTTTTAAAAACTAAAGACTAATTCCCACAAGATTCTGTCTATATTTGAAATTGGTGCGTCTGTGTGTAGCTCTGCCTGTACAGCCACCTCACCCATTCAAAGAACCCTTGTCAGGATCTGTGAATGGAGAGATGCCATCTGCCACCTGTCCGCTGATGGCAGTTGCAATATTTTGCCGGCTCCAATGCAAACAAATCCAAAAAAGCTAATTTTTTCTTGTATGAATGTGTGTTCATGTATTGCTTGTTTTGCATAAGGTGTACAACTCTAGTATGTATTCCTATTGCAATGCTGATGTTATAACAGGATAGGATGTGCTGGGACTTTACAACTCCTTTCCCAAAGCAAGTGAAGCAGAGAACACGTGTAAAGTACCACGCTGTACTTAAAAATAAATAAATACATTTTTTTTTCCCAGGATTTTACGTTTTTTTTGTAGCAGCTGTGTGGTAAAGCCATACCAATGCTTTACAAATAGGTCTCTCACTTTTACAATGCCACCGAAGATTCCAGGGCTATGAAGATTATTAAAGAGTATTCTAAGAATGCTAGATCCCTTAGTTGGGGCACAAAACGTGTGATGGTTTAGAACACATTTACAATCGTACAGAGACCTTTGTTCTGCATTTTGCAAAGCTAGTGCACTTCTACTCTCTGTGCTTTATTCTGCAGACAGTCAGTTGTCAGAGAAATCCCCATAGACTTCTACAGAGCCAAGAACAAATTCTGGCTGGTTGCTGGTGGAGTGTAAGGCTTATAAAGGACACATATGCACATACAGTAGTACCAACCTCTGGTTACCTCTAAAATATATGTTATATGATAGATAGATAGATAGATAGATAGATATGAATGGAGAGATAGATACAGGGCTGTCACTTTAATGAGGCAGCCTATATCTATGCCTCAGACGGCGTTTCTTTTGTTCCTTAAAAATGACAGCTGCCTCCTAACTTTTACAATAAATGGATAGATAGATAGATAGATAGATAGATAGACAGAATAGTACAGGAAGAGACTAAGGGCATTGTCCTTTCATAAGGCCATTATAAGGAAGTCATCTGTGTTCAGAAAAATGACTCTCCAGGAACGGATCTCAAATTCTGTAAATTTCTTGCAAAGCACCTAATATATCTACATACATGTATGAAACTTCCTAATAGCTCTTTAACATTAGATTGAGGCATACTAAAAAGACAGACTTAACAAGGTACTTAATAATGGAAACTGATAAAGCTAAATGAAATACCAAGAAAGAGATGAATTTAAGAACGGATACAAAAGAAATAATGGTTTTCCTATAGCAACTCATTATTTCTGGCATTTTCTACTTGTTTTCAGCAAAAGAACAAACATATTTATGACATAATGTCCATATTTACAGAATAGATACAGACAACAAACTCTTCCTGTTTTGATCAATTGTTCTAGTTTTTATATGTCCTCTGTGGAAGGGCTATCTATAGCCCTGCTAAAGATTATCTAGGCTCACCTGGTGTATCAGTACAATACACATCACAAAGATAGCCATCCACTTCCTAAGCTGTGGAATCATGGTGCCAGATGTCCCAGAGAAGGCGCGTGCTGTGTAAAGGAAGCATCATGCTTCCTGCCTTGGACTTTATAGACAGGACTGATTGCATCATTTTTATCCTAAAAGGGTCAAAGTGCAGTGGTTACATTTAATAAGTTAATGCCTACCAACCCACTCCATTAACACTGCCAGATTACTCAATGTCTTACTGGAATTTAGGTGGTGTCGTGGTTCTTGTACCCTTGTCCTACTGGCTTCTGGATGTTAGAATCACTGAGTTTATTAGACCATTTGGAAGGCAAGTTTCATCCTAACATTTTTTTTTTTTTTTATAGATTAGCACCTTCAGTCTATGGATTTATAACAACTGGAGCAGGAAACAGTGGGGGTGGGGTTCCAACAGAAGCCAATCAGATGTCAAATGTCATTTGATAGAGCCACTTAGAACATAAAAGCTTATGGCAGAGAGGTTGCTCTGATACCATTGTATACAACCAGTTTAATGGGTATCTAAATATCATATGTCCATTTATAAATAATGTGTTCTAAATTAGTCTATATTTATCAGTGTAAGAAAAAATGTTGCTCCAATAATAATAATAATTATGTTGCTTCATTACAAGACCCATGAGTTTCACTGGACTGCTTATATTTCCATGCCTTGAGTGCACCTGGGCAGTGTTTACGCTAATATTTATCTCTCCCTGTATGTGCATACACAGTTTATATATAGATATATATATATATATATCTATATATAAATATATCTATATAGATAGATATATAGATAGATATACACACATACTAGAGGTGCACCGAAATGAGGTTTTCAAAACCGAAACCAGACTTCAAAAATTAAAGTCAGACCGAAACCCAAAAGAAATGTCTAAACTTTTCAATTTTTTTACAAATTTTAATTTTATTAATTTTTTTTAACTTACTGTTAGGGTCTTCGGGGGAAATATTTGGGGTCTAAACAGACCCCTGATATTTCCCTTTTAAAATAGAAAAAGGGATTGAGGACACAGAGTCCTCAATCTCTTTTCTGCAGCCCATGTTATAAATGAACAGGTATCCTCTATACTGAGTGTTCCTGTTCATTCATAACTTGTGGACATAGTATGTTTACCATGTCCACAATCATGAATGAACAGGAAGTGATGTAGATCACTTCCCATTCATTCAAAATTGGGGACCCAGTAAACATACTATGTCCTCCGTTATTTACGAACAGTTAGCGATCACTGATCACTGACTGCTTGTACCTGCTCTCCATCCTGACTCACTGTCACAGGAGGCTGAGCGAGCAGGAGAAGAGCTCGATTTCCTCTGATAGCTGACTCCTCCCCCGCACCACTGGCCCGACCTCCTGTTGTGACAGCTGACAGCAGTCTCTGCCGCCGCTCTCCATATTTGTCACAGGAGGCGGTGCAGGAGGAGAGCTCAGCGACAGCACTGACAACTGTCTCCGCCCCAACACCGCCGCTCTCCTAGTCTGTCACAGGAGGCTGGGCGGTGCAGGAGGAGAGAAGCCGGCCATTCACAGCGCTCTCCTCCCCCGCACCACTCGGCCTCCTGTGACAGTTTATCTCCTCACCACTGGGCACTGCGCTGTGTCAGAGGGGACACAGAGCAGCGTCCGGCAGGTAGGATAGAAACCAGGGATCCACAGCAACTTCGGCTGAAAGATGGCATTTTCGGCCGATATGTTTCGGCGACAGAACTTTCGATGCATCCCTAATATATACAATATACAGTGTGTGTGTGTATATAATAGCAGAATAGCAATAGTACGTGTAGGAGAACAAAGAGTCTTTTCTTAAATGACTGCAGCAGCATAGTAGTAAATGTATTTTCCACACTGTTTCCTTTATTCTCCTAGCATTCTATGTTTAGATGTACCTTCCAGGAACATCTTTATACTGAGTAGCTAAATGCACATAGCCCACACTACGATGTAGAAAGGCCTTAAATTATATCAAATATGCAGTGCTCTCAACCTACACAGCTACATGAGAATTGATTCTCAGCTATATGAAGTACATAAGTCAGATTTTTTCTTTTTAACCTTGTATTTTACTTTGAAAGACAAAACGTTATATATTTAAGAACATTACATTTATGTATAAGATATTGGAATAAGAAGGCAGCAAACTATTCTTTCCCTTGTGATATCTATATGAAAAGACAGAATGGTGACTAGTCAAAAGTAAAACTAAGTTTCCACAAGGCTCACAAATGATAACTTACTGCTAATAAAGGTCATATCAAGTATCGTGTGGTGTTTGCTCAATGGCAGGACATTTACTTTTAAAAGTAAAAAATAGCTGACAGATGCACTTAATAATTACTTTATTAAAGGACTACCCACTGTATGGAGAATACACTGATCAACCATAACATTATGACCACCTGCCTAATATTGAATAGGTCCCCCTTTTGCGGCCAAAGTAGCCCTGACCCATCAAGGCATGGACCACACTAGACCTCTGAAGGTATGCTGTGGTATCTGCAGGGCCGTCTTTACCGCGGGGCAAAAGGGGCAGCTGCCCTGGGCCTCATAATTTACAGGGGGCCCACAGCAGCTAATCCTTTTGCCCAAGCGGCAGACAGCACAAATGCAGTGGCACCGTCAGTGTGGAGACCGGCCACATCTCCTCTAGTATCGGTTCCCAGCTTGTCAGTTCAGAGGCTGGGAACCGTCAATGTCTGTGTGAGCTGCCTGTGTGCCTCCTGCTGCTTTGATCCCCCCCCCCCCCCCCCTTTGTGT